GGGTTGGCCCTAAGACCTTGCTATAAAACTTACTACTTTTTAAAATGCACACAAAAGAGCCTGTCAAAATTATTAATAATAAATCCTTCTGCAACTATTTTTCAGTAAACCAAGAGCCGAATTGTAACCAAGAAATATATAGTCCTGAGCTATACACACCTCAAAAGGCCAAATGAATGAACTTATTATGTATTTTTTCTGTCATTTACAGAAGACAAGCATTTTGCTTCCAAGGATTAAGTGTTCACAGCATCTAAATATATCTAATGCATAGATGACAAAGTCAGATGTTGCAAGATCCATAATCAAAACTATTGGATTCATACTCCTTGTTAAAAGCCTTGCTGGCTATCAGGAATCAATAGTGCATTTTGTATATCACCCTATAAACAAAACTTAAGTTTTGTCACTGATACAATGGCAGTGCTGGAACAGGTAACCATCTACCAGCATGGAGCTGCAGCAGTGGATTGAGTAGGAGGAACTGCCTCACCCCGCTTTAATCTGAAATTACTTGGGCTGCTTCTAGCAGATTCTTTGGGACATGAGTGATCACTGGGACTTACAGTAAAACGCATTCCAAAAAATGCATTCCCTTTGAATCATGTTTAAAAATGTGTCTCTCCCCATGAGACATGAAATATCATATTTATATCAAGCAAATTCTGGACATTTTAGCTCTGATGCCAGAGCTCTTCTTGCATTTGGTTGGAATCGGTGGAGCAGTTACTCCATGTTGTCCAAAATTACCAATAATATTCTTTTCCCTTTCCTACAAACACTTTCTGCACACAAAACAACCTTCAGTCTATGCTGGCAAGTAGAGTATAATAGCTGGATGCAAATCCAGAGAAAACAAAAAACTATCACAAAGAAACACTGTAGCTGGAGACCCCTCTCTAGAATTACTTTTCCCTTGACCTCCTACAAACAGTTGTCATCAGAGAGCTGTGTGAGCATTACCAGACTGTAATTAAGTCTCCTCTATCTAATAAAGGGAAAACCAAGCAGACTGGTGAAGGCAAACCATAAGACAGAGGAGTTTATACTGTTACGGGTGAGGGAGCGCTTTGCTCTCTTAGCCCTGAACAACTCAGCCACTGCAGCACTAGATCATTAGACCCCTCTCTGCTTTCCAGAGAGCCATCCTCTTCCTTTCCCTGCCATGCCTGAGCACTTGTTACCTCTGACACTCATCCACATGCACCAAGACTGGGAAGGGACCTGCTAGTAGATCTGTTCAGCATCTGGTTCTTCCGAGTAACACATTTCCCAGGAGGAAAATATTAATTTTCTTTTATCCATAAACAAGTACAACAGAAGAAAAATACCTATTTTATTATAAAGACTGTATTTCCAGCAGACAAACTGCAAGTAAATAGTCATCTTTGCTTAAGGTAACATCATTCATCAAAACAACTTAAAATTACAAATATACACTTGGATGGAAATACATACAAATATAGTATTTTAAACTAGTAAAGGAAGAGATATCTAAAGACAAAAATGGATTAATATTTTCAGATCCTACTGATTTTTAATGTATATTGTAAATGCATTCTGCGTGGAGATAGATAAAACAACTGGGCCCCAGCCCCAAGATTACAAGGCAGCCCTGTGATAGTTCTCATTTACTTTGTTAAAAATCTAAGAAGATCTATCATGAATAGAGTTTCCTTGAGAAGTATACCCAAATGAAACAGCAACTTTGCCTTGTAACAAAAATTCACTGAACCTTATGAGTAGTTGTAATTTAGGATAAGACAAAATACACATGCTCTTCTTTTGTGGAACCACCAGGTCCACAGAATAAAAACTCCTTTGACTAACCATCTTAGACTGACATTGCAGAATAACAAGGTGCAATAATACAAGAAAATAATTTCTGTTGGTTAGCAGTGGAGAGAAATCCCACCTTACTTTCATAGCAATAAGGTCCACAAAGTTGGAGTGACTTCTGAACACTCCATTACTTTGTTTATAGAAGTCCACAGCTTTAAAAGACTCATTTCAAAAACAAAACAAACAAACAAAATAGGCTTTAAAAGTGAATAAATCCAAAGTTTGATGCCATATCCAAGTCTCAAAATATAAGTTAAAGAGATATTTAATGTAGGCTAGTACATTACAGAATAAGCTAAGTGTTGGTGTTATAGAATAAGCTAAGTGTTGGTGTGCTGTCACTCATGCCAGTGGGAACAACCCCCAGATCAAACTCGACATTAACCTCACTTCAACACTGTCATACCCAGCTGAAAGCACTCCTGTCTTTCAGTTGTCATAAAAAAAAACCCAAACACATGACTTGCTCTTTTCGTGTACAAACATGCCATCTTTTTTTTTTTTTTTTTTTTTTACCAACAGCTAAGCAACCAACTAAAGGTTCCTTAAAGGTTCCTAGTGTGTACATTTTAAAGTGAGCACTACTTTCCCAGAAACAATTAAAGGACACTGGGAAAATTCTCCTTAAAAGCGCATGAGAAAAACAATGTTAAGAGTTTTTCCTTTCCTGATATATTTTAGAGTTTCTCTTTTAAAAGACAATATCTACCTGTACATATAAAATATGCACCCAAAATAAAATCTAAACAAAATGAGATCTGCTGTCAATAGTATCCTTTGGAAATACCCTAATTCCTGACATGGTAAGATAAAAAATCATGAAGAGTGCTGATCACAGGTAAGTCCTGGTGACTTCAGTAGGAGTAGTGGATATTTCAGCCTTCTGTGGATCAAAACAAGGTGGCACGTATTTATCTACAGAACAAGAACTGTTCTCTGCTACATGTGATTTTAACAGCAAACTCTATCAAATCAGAAAAATTGTATCACACTGCAGGGCTTACCAAGAAAATATGTTTAGCCAGCAGTCAGGGTTCAGCAGAACTGCAGATGACAAGCTAACATGCATCATCCATATTTATTTATCTAAACTGCACTGTGCTCATTTTCCATCCCTTTTTCTTACCCTGTATCCCTTCAAGAATGATGTACACAGCACATCAGGTGTCTCTCCCCTCGCAGCTATCAAGCATTAGGAATTTCACATCTCACTCAAAGCATGCTTCCCACTTTCACAATCAGCCAGCCACAGCAGAAAAAAAAATCCAAGGCAAACTTGTGTAAAATATTTTAATTTAGGCTAACAAGAAATGATAAAATGTCTCTTGATAGCACAAGACTACTTCCATGACTGCTCATTTTTACTGAGTGTTATCTATGCTGCATATGGAAAGACAGGATATTTTGGAATTGCATTAACTAGACAGGAAACAATAATGTTCCTGTATCCATGAAGGCCTCCAAACACAGATTACAACAACCATTTTAGCTAATTTGTAAACTTGTAGATACAAAAATTATTCAACCTGTTAGAAAACCAAGTATACCAAGTGTTCTTTCATGTACTTTGTATCAACTAGATTTTATAAGAAAATTCAAGTCTCACAGCCAGACAAGTGTTAATACTTTTGAGCTAATAGCTGAAACTCTGTATCATTGTAAAACCAGTTTTCCTTACAAGTTCTTAAGCAAAATCACTGTTTGTTTTGAAACAAACAAGAGAGATATGAAAAATCCATGAAAAATAACTAGAGGCTGTTATTTTGCTTCATATTAAGTGACACTTCGCAAATGGCACCCTGCAAGTTATGCCTTAACACATTGTTAAAATGCAACTAAAATCTATATTTACCCTGCTTCACACACATAGGTAAAATACATAATTGAAGGAACACTAAAAGACTTTTGGGAAATCCATGAAACATATAAATTACTTGATTGCCTCTGAATAATAAAATCGTTCCCCAGCAGATTTATAATAGACTGTTTTTACTGTAAAAACACATTTCTGCCATCAATAGGCACAGTTTACTGGAGAATGAAAAACAATCTAAAACAACTTTGGAACTGGGAAGTAAGTTGGACTCCAGCTGACTGACCAAACTAATAATGTTTCATCTCTCTTTTTCTCACTGAACACTAATATGTGACAGCAAATCATCCATTTACTCTGGATCACAACTGTATTCACCCCACTCATCTCTGGAATAACACTGTCTTGGGCTGCTGGAGGAACAGAAGTGCTATCCTTTCACATTAGCTGTAAAGTTTTCCTTTTCTGCACTCCTCTACTGAGAAGCCAGGCAAGGAATGGGAGCCATCACCTTGAAGGTGCAGTAATGATCTATGGAAAGATGTTCTGGAGCACAAGGGACTGAACTCTGGAGAGCTCTGTAGCTTTCCTGCATCCCTGACCAGCTTCTCCCTCAGCAGCCTCTGCTGTGCTCCTTGCTCTATGCACAGGGACTGTTTGGTAGCTTTAACACTCACCATCCCAGGAGCACGAAATACAAATGCACTTTGCACACGCACCCACACGCTCACTCTCAAGACACACGTGCACACACACAGAGCTCCCTTGGCACCACATGCAATTCATTCCAAGTCCCCTGTGTATTGCTTCAAAACAGAAACCAAGCACACACACAGAAAGGAAAAAAAAAAACCAAACAAAACAACAAACAAAAAAAACCCCCTAACCACCCACCACCAAATCCCAGCCAAACATCCCACCGAAATATTTAAAAAACCAAAAAAAATAAGCAACACAGAAAGGAGGAGGGAATAAGGAAGGGAGTGGGGGGTAGGACGAAGGAAAAAGGAGAAGCTTGTTTTTTTTTCCTGCTGTTGCTGTGGCTCCCAAGCATGCAGCGCTAAGGAAGAGTAGTTCCCCACTTTCATCAGCTAGCTACATCCTTGGGATAAAAGGGAGCAGTCCGGAATGATGCTGAGGCTGCAGAAGGCAAAATAAGGCTTTGCCTGACTCCCCGTGAAATTCTCTCCTCCACATCCCCTCCTCCCTAAAACCTGCCCTAAATGGGGATGGGGGGGGG